GTATAAAAATGCAAACAACAAAAAAAAAGCAAGGGGATATACTAGTACTAAAAGACAAAGCAGGATAATAAGTTAGCCTTAAACAGAATGAAAATAGTCATTTTTGAAAATCGGTAAAATCATATCAAATGTTAAAATGGCAAATCAAGACATGAATTTTTTTTGTGTTGAATAATGCTGCATCAAAATAGATAACAAAAAACTTCCAAAAATTGGAAAACAAGAGCATAGGACATGTTAACCTGTTACCAAGACTTCTCTCAGTCATTTATCAATCTAGTAGGAGCTACAGAATAAATACCAGCTTTCAATGCTGACAGGTTCCCTCCTGCTCCTACTCATAGCCCTCCCAACCTCTCTCTCGCCACAAAATACTGAGGAGAGTTACCAATCTTTTCTTAAACAGATGGTAGGCACAATGCAAAACATCTTCCTACTTATTCAGGCAATCTTGTTTCAAGAACGGAAGCCATTGAAGGCAAGTGCTAAATTCTGGATATGTTTTCTTCATTTCTGGTCCATCTGTCTTAAAATTAGGGTAAATTCCACTAAGATTTTCATATTATAACAATATCTGTGGGTCTTAGATCAGCACAAATGGGAAAAACCTAATGTACCTCAAAGTTCATACTATACAATTGTACACATTAGGTTTACTAATACTAAAAACTTTATACAAATCTTAATAAATTATAGCTGAAATTCAATACAAGAAAAGTTCTAAGCAAAAACTCTCCTCAGATTTTGAAAGTAAAAGTTAGACCACGGATTCGAGAATCAGACAGCTTGGGTTTAAACCCAGCTCTGTCACTTACTAGCAACATCATTGAAAGTTCTTTATGTCTAAGTATCCCCATTTGATATGTCCTAACAAAAGTATGCACTCTCATGACCTCCCCCTCAAATCTAGGGAACTATTTTCCTCACTCCAAAAAAGTCCCTATTGCCCTTTGGCAGTCAATACCCCCTATTTTGCCCCAGAAAAACCACTGAGATTTTTAGGACAATCTCTTTTAAAGAATGGTGACATATCCTTTGAAGGAAATTTACTTTTCAATTTGCCCTTTGTAAGCCATGCTTAGACAAGAAAAGTACTAAATTCAATCAGGGGTAGAAAAGTAACAATTTGATATTAAGACATCATACCTATTGGCACCGAGATCTTTCTCTTCTTGAAGTTTGGCTTAAACACAAAACAGCCCTATAAAAAGAAATACAATGCATAAAGTCAAAGTAGCCAAGGAGCAGATAAATCTGTTAACCAAGTATTCTATGGATAAGCAGATTTTTTTTAAAAAAGGTGTTTCTTTAAAGTGCTAAAATAGCTCTTTTCTATCTGAGTTATAGAAGGAAAATTCTTAAACAAGGACTATCCATTTCTTTCTCTTTCTTCTCATGGGATGTTCATCTTTGATTATGTTCTTTGGGACCTGATCTAAGAGACAGACAAAGAAAATAAACTGATGAAATTTAAATGCAGAAAGATTCCATTTTTATAAAACTTAGAGAAGAACATTAGTAGTATATATTTAAATGAAGATCAAGAAGATATAAAATAGTGATGCTCTCCATCTCAAAAGAAGTACTTGTTATTTAATTAAACTCCAACTATAGAACCATGATGGGAAATAGATAATTTGGGCTGTTATTGTTTCACCTTTCTTCATCTGATAAATACATATTCATTTATCTATTACAGATCAACTCAAACTCAGCCACTCTAGTTAGAATTATTCTTTCTCCTAAGATCTCACAGGACTTGAATATCTTTATTTTTAATCACTTTCACTCTGCATCATAGTTATTTAGGGTTTGTCTCCCTAAATAGTTTCTGAGTGTCTTCAGAGCAGATTGCATTTAGTGCATGATCATTTTCCCCAATGTTTAGGACAGTGTTAACATATACATTAGGCAATCAGTATATAGAAAGAATGCTTGGCAAGTAATATCCCTGGTAATTTCCTAGCTACATATAATTTCATGTTATTATCTGATTAGTGATATGTAGTCCCCAAGCTACTGGTCCTATGTTTATTCTCCCAATCCTAAAGCATGGACAGCTTCTTAAGATTGCCATTTCTGTGGAAATGAAAAAGTAAAAAAAATATAGGGTGTCTCAAAAAAATGTATATAAACTTTAACAGCTGATAACTCAATTTTGAAAATGAACTGTATGTTAATAAACACTGACTTTACAATCATTCAAAGTGTGTATATCTTTTTGGGGGGATACCTGTGTATCTAGAAAAAGTCATCTCAGGATATTTGTACTGCTAAAGACAGCAGTGCAATTATAAAGTGGCCATTTGGATTACAGGATCCAAAGTGAGAACTTTGCCCTATACTCTTGTATCTGCAGCTAGTGCAACTATTTAAAATACACATACATATTTAGAAAAATCATGTGGTACCACAACAAGCTTGTTATTACCTCCTTTCTATATCTATCTGCAATTCAGTAGAGGAAAAGGAGCTTTGAAGGAGTGAAATATAGTGTCAATAAGGAATCCTAATGTATGGCAGTAGTAGTAATATGGTTAACCACTTTGAACTCCTGATCAAGGAATGTTTGAGATGAAGGAAGAAGTCTAGAAGGACAGCCGACAGCAAGAAAATATGACAAAGAAAGAGAAGTCTAGATAGGTTAGGGAAAAATAGCCTAAGGTTCTTATTCATGTAAGGTTCCCTTCATAATCATCTCAATACAAGCATTTCTGTTATGCCGTAAGTGCTTTGGGGGGGGGAGGGGGGGAGAATCTCACAATTCTGCAAGATATACAAAAATAAGAGGCTTGCCCTGGCTGGGTGGCTCAATTAGTTGGAGCCGGCCCCATACACCAAAAGGTTGCAGGTTCAATTCCTGACCAGGGAATACTTAGGTTATGGGGTTTTTTTCTTTTTAAATATTTTATTGATTTTTTACAGAGAGGAAAGGAGAGGGATAGAGTTAGAAACATCGATCAGCTGCCTCCTGCACACCCCCTGCTGGGGACGTGCCGGAACCAAGGCACATGCCCTTGACAGGAATCAAACCTGCGACCCCTCAGTCTGCAGGCCGACTCCATCCACTGAGCCAAACCGGCCAGGGCTAGGTTATGGGTTTGATTCCCCCCGTCAGGGTGGGTACAGGAGGCAACCGATTAATGTCTCTCTCTCATGTTCATGTTTCTTTCGCTTTCACACCCTTCCTTTCTCTAAAAATCAATAAAAACATATTCTCAGGTGGGGATTAAAAAAATATATAAAGATTATGCAACAAAAGGGATTAGAAGACAGACCATCCAAAATCTGTGAAACTTTACAACCAGGGCAAAACAAAAACAGTACCAATCGTAATAAAAATTTTTTTAAATACTAGCAGTTAAATTTCTTCTAGCTTGCACCTAGCAACACAGTTAGTCCTTTGCAAACTTAACCCTAAGCTTGTAGCTCCTCCTTGATATATAATCTTGGAAGGCATTGTTTTCATAATTTTATTTTAATTTTAATCATTAAAAATTAGATCCATGGTGTAGCCTTCTCCGTTCATCTGGTTTTATACATAGAGAAATGTTTTTGTAGCTTCTTCATCTGCATTCTCATTTTTACCAGACAGCTTTAACTTAAGAAGCTTCCAGTTGCACTCATATTACTAAAGGTCTTACTTGACCGTCTATAGCAGTGCTATCCAATAGGACTTCCAGTAACGAGGGAAATATTAAAATCTGCACTAAGATGTAGTCATATTAGTGAGACTGAGGAACTAAACTTTTGTTTACTTTATTTTTATTTAAATACCCACATACAGCTAATGGCTACCGCACTGGACAATAGAGTTCTAAAGTTTATCTTCTTACCAACTATACCAGTGGTCGGCAAATCGCGGCTCGCGAGCCACATGCGGCTCTTTGGCCCCTTGACTGTGGCTCTTCCACAAAATACCGACTTCTGCACATGGGCCACGAAGTTTCAGTCGCACTGTACATGTGCGCATGCACCGTGGTATTTTGTGGAAGAGCCAGTCAAAGGGCCAGAGAGCCGCATGTGGCTCGCGAGCTGTGGTTTACTATACCATGTCTTGCAATCCTTGGCCAATCTAAGCAGCCAGTATGAGAAGATCTGTATGACCTCCTTACACACACACCCGAACACTACTTTTCATAAGGCTCCCTTTTCTATTTCTACTGATTACACAGATTTTTCAACTCCTTTATTTAATATGCCATTTTACTTCTATCTTCTGAACATATTCTCTTTGCGAACACCCTCCACCCCCCACCCACTCCCCACTCCTTTACCTAACTTCTCACTTTTCAGGTCTCAGCTCAAATGTCTTTCTCCAAAGGCCTTCTCTGACCTCGGGCAATCTAGGTTCTTCTAGCTCTTCTGCTCTCTCGCTTAGAACTTTCTTTCTTGCTCACATTTATCACAGTTTGTGCTCAGTTCACCCGTGTTTAATGTGTTTCTGCAGTACAAACACTCAGTCCATTTTGTTAACCCCTGTATCCTGGTACCGCATGGAGTGTTTGGCACAAGAAACATTTGAGAAGGAAAGAAAGAGGACGGCTGACTGGGGCACAACCTCCGGACAGCCGACCTCCACAAACCAGAATTTAAAAATCCTCCTCGCCAAAACACTAAGGCAGGCGGGCGGGCGGGCGTCTTCGCTCCCCAAAGTTGGCCTGAACCGGACCGGGAGCCAAGATCTCAGCTCTGACCGCCACCTTCCCCTGAAGTCGGTACACCGAGACCCAGGTAACCTCCGCTCCGTGCCTTCCCCGAAAGGGGATGAGGTTGCGGCGGAATCTTAGTGGCCGCCCGCCCCCGCGTACCTTGGACACCGAGGAGGTGGCCATGGTCCCAGCGGCAGAACGGCATCCAGAAACTCGGGATTTCCCGCGCTCCTTCGCGGCAGCAGGGCAGAGGTTAGTGACGAGCCAATGGGCTTCTTGATTGGCTGGCATCACCCTCGAGGCGGGCTTCCGGCGCGTGGAGGCGGGGCTTCGGAGGAGAGCGGGCGTGGCTCCGTCTGGAACCTAGGGGACGCACTACGTGGAAGTAGACATGGCGTGCGGCTTCCGCAGGTCCATCGCCGGTCAGGTACGGTCCCCCGAAGCCGTCTCACCGCGGTGGGCCAGTCCGCAGTCAGCTGACGGGCGGGTTCTGAGGAAACCCCGCTTGTTTCTGCCGCTTCCTCACCGTCCTCTGGAAATGCCTCCGCTGCGGAGGCAAACCCAGTGGAGGGTCGCGCGTGCGGCTCAGACCAACCAGCCTTCAGGGTGAAAAGTGAACTTGGAGAGGCACGCGTGGCTTCCCTCACGCTTCCCCACCCTACAGCTTTGTACGCCTTATCTGGGTGGGGAAGTCACGGGGCCATGATTAGACCCCACGGAAATGAACGTTGTTGACCTAGTCCTAGGGAAATCAGGAGGCTTTGGCTAAAATGAAAGATAAAGGCTTATTCAGGGGTCTTAGGGTTTGTAATCCGAAGATATAGCCGTGCAGTACCCAGAGTGTTCTGAAGGAAGGAAAACAGGGTTCTTATAGTAAAAAGGAAGTTCTTGGGAAATAGTTCTGCATTCTTGACCTCTGAATCCCTAGGTGGTAATTAGTCCTGATTGTTAACTGGGAGGGCAACTGGTGTCTCCCAAAGCCAGTGGTTCTCAACCTTGGCTGCAGACTGCGGTCACCTGAGGACCATTTAAAAAATACCCAAACCCAGGCCCCCCGCATAGGAGCGGGTCGTGAAGTTCTATCAGGTGATGTTGATGTTCGTCCAGGTTTGATAACTGCTAACCAAGGACGGCCAGGAGGCAGAAAGGTGTAGTGTGCAGTGGTCCCCACACTTCTCTGCACACTACAATCAACACAAGAACTTACTAACATCCTGTTGCTCACACCCCATCCTGTGCTACTTAAATGAGAATGTTTGCATCAGTGTTTTCTAAAGATCCCTGGGTCATGCCAAGGTGCAGCCAAGGTGGGAGCCATTGGAATAGTGATTAAGAACACTGACCATGAGAACGTGGGTTTAAGTCCCGCTTCTCTGGTAGGTATGTGAGTTCTCTGTCCCTCATTTGTAAAGTCTGGAAAATTATTTAGCTACTTTATAGGATTGTCATTAGGATTTAATGAATCAATCCGTATTTAGTACTTGGGGGTTGTGTTTGGTACATTGTATACACTCAGTAAATATTAAATACTCTGTTAAATTAGAATGCTGAGGACGGTATTTTGAATCCCCTTGCTACACTTCTGATGTGGGAATCTAGTTATACATTACTCTCAGTGAATGCTTTAGTCCCACATGAGGTTAGGTCTGAAAGCTACGTATCTGAACCCTAATTAGTTTTCAGTGAAAATTCCTTAGCAGTACTTAAAGTCAGGAAAAAAGGAAGATGGAAAAGCTGGGTAGATAGGCTTTTTATAAAAATTGTAATGAGTTTTTATTTTTAGGTTTGTTTGCTTCTTTAAAAGTTTTATGATGAAAAATGTCCAACTACTAAAAGTGTAATAGTGTTAGGATTCCCCCATGTACGTATAACTGAAATATTGTTTTAAATAAGAAGTATTGCCGAACCGGTTTGGCTCAGTGGATAGAGCGTCGGCCTGCGGACTCAAGGGTCCAGGGTTCGATTCCGGTCAAGGGCATGTACCCTGGTTGCAGGCACATCCCCAGTGGGGGGTGTGCAGGAGGCAGCTGATCAATCTCTCTAATCGATGTTTCTAACTCTCTATCCCTCTCCCTTCTTCTCTGTAAAAAATCAATAAAAATATATTTTAAAAAAAGAAGTATTAAACATAGTTTTGCTTGAATTTAATGAAAGAAAAAGAAACCAAAGTGCAATGCAAAGAATTATTGATGTATTTTCTACATGAGTCCTCTGCAGTTAAGAGATTATGCAGAACAATACAATTTGTAATGTTTCTTTAAAATCTCCATGTTTCATATTTAGACAATATCAACCCCTGGTGTGAGAGAACATTAGAACTCTTATAGTTGGCATAACTTTCCTCTACCATTCCTAATTTGTTTGGGGAACTTTCTCATTCATTTGTAACACTCATAGTCTGTTTATTAGCCATATATGCACAACTTATCTGCTGTTCACTTATATTGATTTGGATAAGATGCTTATTACCAGTACTTTTCCTGGTTACATGGCTTAATTGGCCGGATTTCTTTATAAATATACTTTTCAAGAAGGCTCATGGTGCTTTATTTTTTTCAAACATTACTTAAAAAAAAAAATTCATTTCTCAGATAAAATAATCTTGGAGGTTTAATTATTTTAAAAAATTAGCATGTTTAGAAATAACAAAATAGATTTGGAAATATAAAAAATCTTCATTTAAAAATAAAGCAATAACATTATTTCTAATTTTGAATTTTCCAAAGACTTATACCATATGTACAAATGCATACAACAATCCAATGTTATTTTTTAAATTTCCAATTTTTATATGTTGGCAACTAAATCAAACTAAAAACAACTGAGCAAGTGAAACAAACATGCCCGTCTGCAGCTTTTCTAGTGGATGAATTTAGTCCTATATAATATCATTGCTAAATTATTTGCTTTAACCATGTGATTAGGCAACATGAATACAAAGTAAAGTTCTTTTCATCTCTAGATTTTTGATTGGATGCTTTATCTTTTGAAATTTAGTAACTTAGCCTGATGTTTCTCTGTTAAATTTTCTGTGTTATATTTTCCTGACATAGTAATTTACTATGATCTGTGGATTCAGTTTGTTTCTTTTTTTAAATGAAATATTTAATCATGGAGAAGAAAATAGGTAATATTCATGTACCCATTACTAATTGGGATGCATTTATAGGTTGTAAATGACATGCACAGATATGGTAAAACAAAACCTCATATGTGAGGAAAGAGAATTTGCAACCAGGGATGAGTAGCCAGGAGATTTTAATATTTACAATAATTTATTTTTCAGTTATTAATTTTATTTTTTTAAAAATCCTTACCCGAGGATATTTTTATATTGATTTTTAGAGAGAGTGGAAGAGAAAGACAAATATCAGTGTGAGAGAAACACATCCATTGGTTGCCTCATGCTTGCGCCCACACCAAGGCCCTGGCCAGGGAGGAGACTGCAACCTAGGTACATGCCCTTGACCAGAATGGAACCCAGGACCCTTCAGTCTGCAGGCCAACACTCTATCCACTGAGCCAAACCAGCTAGGGCCAGTTATTAAATTTTATATAAGTGATAATCAAACTGTAATTATCCTTCTGCAACTTGGGTTTTTGTTTGTTTGCCTCAATTTTTAAAAAATATTTATAAAGATATATGGAGGTTTAATTCTTTCATTTTACTGCAGAGTGGTGTGCCATTACCATAATATACCACAATATAGATTTGGTTCTTTATTTCAGGGACATTTTTCCTGTTATTGAATATTATGCCCTTTTATCTCCCATCACTTGGTCACACCTGTGATTCCAGCTGCCACTTTCGTGTGAACAGTTTCACATGTGCTCTCATTCCTTATTGCTAACAGCATCCCATTCTGTTTTTGAAAGCCTGCTAATCCCAGCCTATGGGCTCAAGTGTGGTGGAGTTAATGTCAAGGACAGCCCTCAACCAATGGGGGATGGAGGCTCCTGCTTCCTATTTTTGGATGGTATCGTGTATGCTTCTTAGGAGGTAGTACGAAATGGAAATTAAGGCTCCATTGCCTATAGTAGTGGCCTTGATAGCACAATCTTATATTTGCTTTTCCTCCTCTTTTACTCTCCTTCCATCACTTCTGCCCGCAGGGTTCACCTCCCAAATAAACTACCTGCATACAACCCTTTTCTCAGGCCCTGCTTTTGGGAGAGCCAAGATATATATCAACAAATACTTTAAAATTTTCTTGGGTTTTGTTTATTCATTTCTATGGCTTCTGATAAGTGAGACCAAGTTACTATCTTTCTTTGGCTATCACTTTTTGATCAGTGGCTTTGAGCTTTGTCTCTATCCTTATGTCTTTGCTACTGGAGAACCAGTGTACCTATCATCCTGTCCTCTTGCTTCTACCCTTTTTATATTTTAGGGACATCAAATATACTAAGGAAGGATTATCAAATATACTAAGGATGGATTGTCTTCATGCATTTTTTATATTGCTCTGATTGCTTTAATTACAAATCTTGAAGCACTTATGAATAATGTTTTTGTATTTATTAGGCTATATTTTTCTTTCAGACAAGAGTTCTTTGATCTCCTATATGCCACATTCCTTCTCTTCTGTATTTTTCTTTTCCTCCCTCTCTTCTCCCCTTCACTTCTCAGTTTGTTTGCCTATTTGTGATGCTTATTCTTTCTCATCTTGCTGAGGCTTGTCACCTCTGCCCAAACTCTGTATTTGTTCCTGCATTGTGTGCATGACTTCTTCACTCTCCATTTCAGATTTGTTCTTGGCTCACCTCACTTTTGTGGTTACAAAAATATAAACTCCACAGCTCTCCATTCCCCTTTTGCCTCTCCAGTAGGTCGTGATGACTTGTACACATATTTCTGAACTCTGACTTAGCATATTCGATTTCTACTAGGTAGCCCTGATACTTTCTATCTTCCCACAAAAGTTCCTTTTCTGATTCTTTCTACCCATGCAACACCAAATCAAGATTTACTTCCTGTACTTGGGGAATGTGTTGTGTTTTCACTGGGAGGCTCCTCAGTGTGCTGTCCTAGAATCTGCACTTAGGCTGAAAAGTGCTGAAATTCACTTCTTTTTTACTGTTCCCAAAACTCTGTAGCATCACCTATTCATCAGTGAAAAAAAAATAATGGAATTCATTCCATTTTCTCTCTCTCCAGATTTGGGGTATTAATGAGAATTGTTAATTCATGTTAGGAGCCTTGCCAAACAGGCTGCATCCATTCCTCTTCAAAATCTGTATCTTTCCTTGGCTATTACTTTAGGTGCATATCTTTGGACTGTGCCTATCTGTTGTATTTGGTAATGGAGAACCGGATAACCTGCATACTTATTACGTACCTTCCTTACTTCCTCTTCTCCCTCCTTTTCATTTTAATTTGAAAATTGGTGGGAATTGGGAGGTGAGAGATTATATACAAAAGCCTTCATTCCACTACTTTATCCCAGTATTTATTTTAGGGTTTTGTTTTGTTTTTAATTATGGGGAAAGATACGTGACATAAAATTTACCATCTTAACTATTTGTAAATGTACAGATCAGTAGCATTAAATACATTCACATTGTTATGCAACCATCACCAACAACCGTCTCCAGAATTCTTTTAACCTTGCAAAACTGAACCTCCACTCATTAAACAGTAAATCCCCATTGCTCCTTTTCCCCCAGTCCCTTCTTTTTGTTTTTTAATTTGCATCATATAAGAATGTTTCTGTGCCTTTGTAAAACTACAATTGAAGATACTTTCTATTTTGGTGTTCATATCTCCATGTGAATATAACTTGGTCTTAGAATTTACTTTTAGGAAAAGTTGGTTCCTCCTGACTTGCTAGATCTATCCTAATATATAAAAAGCCAGGGGCCATCACGACCGAAACAACCTCAAGACGACCAAACAGCAGGCTGTGTAGGGCGACAAGGCCGGCAGTGGGGTTAGTGAGGGACGACCAGACGACTGGCCAGCAGCTGCGTGGGGTGACCAGGCTGGCAGGGGGGTTAGTGAGGGATGACCAAACAACTGACCATCAGGCTGGTGGGACGACCAGGCTGTAAGGGGGGCTGTTGGGGGTGAACTTGCCGGCAGCAGGGGGCCGTTGGGGGCGACCAGGTGGGGGTGGGTGGGCGATGACAGTTAGGGACAATCAGGCTGGCAGGCAGGTGAGCAGTTAGGAGCCATTGTCCCGGATTGTGAGAGGGATGTCCAACTGTCGGTTTAGACCTGATCCCAACTGGTAGTCGGACATCCCCCAAGGGGTTCCAGATTGGAGAGGGTGCAGGCTGGGCTGAGGGGTCCCTCCCTTTCATGCATGAATTTTGTGCACCGGGCCTGTAGTTACTAGATAAAACATGCTGTGTAGTTATGCCCTTTGTACCTTGGTTTTCAAGAAGAATAGTAACTATCTTTAGCTTGGTTTTCTGGTATAATTTTACACCTTCATTTTATTTATATGTTCTTAAGCCCCCCTTGGAGCCCTTTTGGAGCAAATAAATGTAATTTAAAAAAGAAACATTTAAAAGTAGTTTTTAGTTTATATAAGAAATTTTGTGTTTTTTTCACTTCAATTAAACTTTAAAACTTTCCTACATCACTTTTTTTCCCCCCAGCAAAGTTTAGTTTTATTTAAGAAAGGCAGAAAATGTTAGTGGTTGTGGATGTTTTGAGATGTAGAAGTAAATAGGATTTATTACATCCTTATTATGTGACACATTTTTCTTAATCCTCATAAGAGCCCTACCGGTTTCTTATTTTTTTTTTCTGGTTTCTATTTAATAGACTTATTATCCCCGTTTGTCAGATGTGTAAACTTAAGTTCATGCATGTAAAATGACTTTCCCAAGGATGCAAAGCTAGTAAAACCAGAACTGGAATTTGAATCTTTTTTTCTAAGAGAAATTATAACAGAACCTTTATTACTGAGAATCTGTATTGGCAGGAACATTTTGTAGTATAAACAAGAAGTATTGCAGCTTTCATTCTATAAATGCTTTGAAAATATCTACTTCTGAGAAAATTTCCTAAAGAAGTATGTTTTTGTAGGGGATACAGTAATGGCAGTTCCTAAAGACCAGAATTTAAAAATAAAGATTGCACTTTAAAATTTAAAAATCAACCTTTCTGCTAGATCAAAGCAGAAATGTATAGAGCATCTTAAAGAGAAATGACAGCTCCAGGTTGGCAAGTTTTGACTTTTTTTTTAATGTTTGTGAAATTCAACATTTTTTTTAATATATTTTATTGAGGTTTTTTTTTTACAGAGAGGAAATGAGAGAGACAGAGAGTTAGAAACATCGATTAGAAACATCGACCAGCTGCCTCCTGCACACTTCCCACTGGGGATGTGCCCGCAACCAAGGCACATGTCCTTGACCGGAATCGAACCTGGGACCTTTCAGTCCTCAGGCCGACGCTCTATCCACTGAGCCAAACCGGTTTCGGCTCAACATATTTTTTTTTTACAATTTGAAGGTAATACTACCAGTTAGGAGACAGTGTTTTTAGTTTTATTCTTCTCCGGAATAGTTACAAACACATCTGAAGAAGAGTTCTTCCTACATTCTTTACTTCCTATTTATCCCATTTCTCCCTTGTCTTATCCCTCAACAGCCATGGTTTGTCCATTGCAAAGGCTTCATAAAATTAAGGAGAAAAGAGGAAGGCAGTTCTAAATTCATTATGGCAATACTGCTATCTCACTCTTTGCATGCATTGCTCATTGAAAGGATATATGTATGACACGGGTTGGGTGTAGGTTCTGGTTTTAGATTGCTTGTGTTAACATCTGAGCTTTTTCACTTAGGCATGTTACATAAATTCTTTGTATTTCAGTTTCATCGTTCTTGAAATAAATTCTATAATAGTGTGAAAGTCATGGAATTATTTCAAAGAAAGATTAAGGCATGTAAGATGTGCCTGTCATGTAAGAATCATTCAGTAAATAGGATTGACTAAGGCAATAGTTCATAACTATGGCTATGCATTATATTCATTCAAGGAACTTTTTAAAAATACAAATGCCCCTGCCCCTGCTGTTCTAGCTAACCTTTAATAGGGCCTGGGGATCATATTTTTCTCCAATTATTTATTTGTTTATTTTTAAGTGCCATGAGATTTTTATCTCTCTTGTTCATTGCTATATCCCCAATTTCGAGAACAATGCCTGGCACAAATTAGGCACTCAATAAATACTTTATTAACGAATAAAATGAATTATCACCCTAACCGGTTTGGCTCAGTGGATAGAGCGTCGGCCTGCACAGTGAAAGGTCCCAGGTTCGATTCCAGTCAAGGGCATGTACCTTGGCTGCGGGCACATCCCCATGGGGGGGCGTGCAGGAGGCAGCTGATAGAGGTTTCTCGCTCATCGATGTTTCTAACTCTCTATCCCTCTCCCTTCCTCTCTGTAAAAAATCAATAAAATATATTTAAAAAATAAAATGAATTATCTTTGATTCCTCAGTGGTTCATCTCTCTTTTAGGAAAAAACATTAACTCATTTTTAAATTTATAAATGCAAAATTCTTTTTTTGAGGGGGTGGGAGACATTATGTTTGTTACTTATAGCCACACCCTCTTCTCCTCCTCAGTCCCTGGAAACCATGATCTATTCTTCATTCTTACAGTTTGGGGTTTTCTGGAATTTTAAGTAAATTGAATCATACACTATATAGCTTTTTTATTTTTAAATATATTTTACAGATTTTTTACAGAGAGGAAGGGAGAGGGATAGAGAGTTAGAAACATCGATGAGAGAGAAGCATCAGTCAGCTGCCTCCTGCACACCCCTTACTGGGGATGTGCCTGCAACCAAGGTACGGCATGCCCTTGACTGGAATCAAACCTGGGACCCTTTAGTCCGCAGGCCGACGCTCTATCCACTGAGCCAAACCAGCTAGGGTCACTATATAGCTTTTTGAGTCTGGCTATTGTCACTTAGCACATTGCATTTCAGGCTCATTTATGTTGTTAAGTGTCTCAATATTACTTTTTCTGCTAAGCACTGTTACAGTGTACCTGGAACAAATATATTAACAATCTTGCTCTGTTTTGTTTTGTTTTTCTTTATTTTTAGCTTTCCAGAGTATTGGATCTTCCACCAGAAAACTTGATCAAGTCAATATCTGCAGTTCCAGTTTCCAGAAAAGAGTTAAGTATAACATACTTGTAATAATATAAAATGTTGCTTACTTTGTAAAGATACCAAAAAAGAAAGTAACTCTTCAACTTATAGAGTAGTCCTTAAAATTAACCCTTTTAGTAACCTTGTGTTGTTTTGATATTTATGCTAATAACTATAATTATGGCAAAGTCTTTAAGAAGAATGCAGAATGAGGTTCAAATTTAATTGTGTAACAGCAACTAAAAGAAATAAGATTATGGTTAGGATCTAAGGGTTTTTGAAGGACTCGGAGAGATTATACACCTGCTGCTTGAATACAATTGTACAATATTTACCTGCTAGTTTTTTTTTATGGTTATTTTTCCCCTCCATTTGGAGACTCACGGTGTTACAGGGAACTTTTGGTTAGGACTATATGCAGCCAATAGTTACCCTTGTTGGTTGCAAGGAAAAGTCTATCTCTTTGTGAGTTTTATCGTTCTAAATGGTACTAGTTTACCATTTGACTAGAAAACTTTAATATTTGGATAAAATGCCCTCTCAGTCAATTAATAATGACAAAAAATTTGCTAGACATTTAAGCCTAAGCTTTAGAAAGATGTAAAGATATAATCATCAGTATCATTATGTCCTTATGTTTTGTCCCCTTTGTCAGGATTTTAGATTCAGTAGGATAAATATTCTTGCTCCCAGAGTAGGACAAACAGATAAATGAAAAAGGAAAAGAAAGCTACATGCAGCATTGTGAAAGAGAGGATCTTTAAAATGGCCTGCTGCAACTTTCTCTATATTGAGTTCTAAGGCCCACTGACCAAGGGAAACTTATAGTTATACTAGAGGCCCAGTGCACAAAATTCGTGTACTCGGGGGTCCCTCAGCCTGGCCTGCACCCTCTTGCAGTCCAGGAGCCCTCTGGGGATGTCCGACTGATGGTTTAGGCCTGCTCCCGCCAGCAGTTGGACATCCTTAGCACTGCCACAGAGGCGAGAGAGGCTTCCACCCCCGCCGCTGCCCTCGCCAGCCGGGGGCCTGGCTTCTGGCACACTAACCACCAGGAGGCAGCTCCCGCATTGAGCATCTGCCCCCGGTGGTCAGTGCACATCATAGCGACCGGTCGTTCTGATGTTTGGTCGATTTGCATATTGCCTTTTATTATATAGGATATACACTGATGTAATGTTCCAGACCAGTTACCTATTTATAAAGTCTCTAAATGACATTCTGCATACTCATGGGAACATCTCTGTTTTTATTTTATGTTTCAAAGAGCTTTAATAAGCTGAACTGTCTTGGCCTATCTTGTGAATAACATTTCCTTTACCTGCCTGGAGCTCCTTTGGGCAGTTCCACTTTAGTACTCTGAAATGCTAAGACTTTGATTTATAGAAAATAAATACTGGGGAGGACCTCAAAATTTTTCTAGGCTACAAGTATAAAATTATCCATATTTATTTAAAACAAAGGGAATTTCTAATGCTTTGTCATAATAAACCCAAGTGTCCTTTACAGTACTAAAACCAAGCCTAACTGTTGTATATTTCTAACTTTATTCTAAAATACTATTAAGTGCCAGAATTTTAAGAAATACTATTTTTGGGGTAAGAGAGCAACCCAAGGACTTGTATGCATGCATGTAAGCATAGCCCATGGATACAACAGTAAAGGGGTTAGGGCATGTGCTGGGGGATGGGAATGACCGGGGAGAGGTCAATGGGGGGAAAAAAGGAGACATATGTAATACTTTAAACAATAAAGAATTAAAAAAACAACAACTCAGTAACTGTAAAAAAAAAAGGAAATACTATTTTTGTTCATGTGACTTATTTAATGTGATGTGAATCCATTTGCTCAGGTCTACTAGTTCAAATTGTCAATTATGGTGAAATTTCTATTTAATACTGATCATAGTAGAGAAGATTAATAATTATTATAAGCCAGTAGTACTCACGTCTAGGGATTTCACTCCAGCACAACAAAAACTCCTCAGAAATAGTGGAAAAGTAGCTATTTTTAAACCTTTTCTTTTAATTTAAACAATAATAAAGTAGAGGAAATAGATTACCATAATGACCCCTACATGCCCATCAGTTACTGTCATTGTCTCATGGCCAGTTTTGTTTCATCTATACTCCTGTCCACTCTCCTTCTTCACAATGGGTTATTTTCACAGCTACTGCTTTTTATAGGCTAGATGTTATGTATTGTTATAGTTTTTTCTTAATTTGTTTTTCTATCACAAGAGCAAAACAGATAATGTTAAGGAGATTCAGGAAGAATAAGAAGAGAAAACATTCCCATTAGCCTTGCTGTGTTGAGACATATGATGTTAGCAACTTGGTGTGTTTTCACACTTTCTCTTTGATATGTCTTGCAGCCTTTAAAAACAAACAAACATAGTTATAGCCTGGCCAATGTGGTTCATGGTTGAGCATCGACCTTTGAGCCAGGAGGTCAAGGCTCAATTCCTGGTAAGAGCACAAGGCTGAGTTTTGGGCTCAATCCTCGGTAGTGGGCTTGCAGGAGGCAGCCAATCAAGATTCTCTCTCATCATTGATGTTTCTATCTCTCTCTTCCGCTCTGAAATCAATAAAAATATGTATTTTTAAAAGCCACAAAACATAGTCATAAAACTGTATGTATAATTTTTAATTCTTTCCCTTGACATCAATCTTTTTTTTTATAAGTATCACTTTTAACAATAGCTAATTAATACTCTAATGCTCCCCTTTGGACGTTTAGAATGTTTTCAGACTTTTTACATAATTCACATTTAAGAATACGTCTTTAAATAGACAAGGCAAAAGTTCCTTGTGGCTATATAATTGAAAGCTCCCCAAAGGGAAAATGGTAAAAGAGGTCAAGTCTGGTTGAGTTCCACCTACCTCCTTAAAGCACTTATTTTTCTTTTGAGTCTTTTTTATTGCCAAATAACCCTTCACATAATTTCAGAATTCATGTTCTAAATATTCCTTGTTGCCGAAACCGGTTTGGCTCAGTGGATAGAGCGTCGGCCTGCGGACTGAAGGGTCCCAGGTTCGATTCCGGTCAAGGGCATGTACCTGGGTTGCGCGCACTTCCGCAGTGGGGGATATGCAGGAGGCAGCTGATCGATGTTTCTCTCTTATCGATGTTTCTAACTCTCTATCTCTCTCCTTTCCTCTCTGTAAAAAATCAATAAAATATATTTCAAAAATAAATAAATAAATATTCCTTGTTTAACAAATGATTGTTCATCATTTTTAATAGACATAAAGGTGATGTTTTAAAATGTGTCCTATCACTGAACTAATTGGGAATATTTGTCATGATTCTATTGAAATAATAAAATTTTTAAATTCAATTGAACTACTTTATTATTCATGTCTAGAATAAAATTGTATTCATGATTTTAAATAACTGTCTATAGAAAATCATGTGACCTCTGTGTTTCCTAGATGTTTTGAGAGCCCACCTATAGGTTTATGGTCATACTTAATCTTTTATAAATTATCTTTGCTGCATGTTAAAAATCATAGCTTTTTTTAATCTTTATTGTTAAAGGTATTACATATGTCCCGTTTTTAAAAAAATCATAGTTTAATCTTTGGTATATTCAAATCTGTATAATTTCAGTTAACATTGTATGGATTTTATTTTAATTTAATATTTTTTCATGAAAAAAATCTTTATGTTTGTGTGTTATTCCCATTTTGTTAAATTTATATTTTCAATGTCCCACATTATTGGCACAAATACTTGACTAGGCTGTTAGAGTCTTTTGGAAAGAATAGGTAAAATAAATACATCTAGACCTTATGTGAGTTTCCAGAGTTAAAATTAATCTTTAGAAAATCAAATTGTCATTTTATCATTAGAGAATAGTCTTAGAAAAAAAAAATAGAGTACAGTTTGCCAACCAAGCTACTGAAGAACTACAGACAGAATAATTCCCAGGGCTCAGTACTGGTACTATTAAACATTTTTATTTAACATCAGAATTAAGATTAGTATTATTTAACTAGAATTTAATTTTTCAGCAACACTATGAAGTGGGTACTATTATTACCATTATACTGAGGTTACAAGGGAGGTTTAAGCAACATACCAAAGATCACACAGACACTGATTAATACATGAACTTGGGTTTATAGTTACAGCTTAAATGTCAGTAGATGAGTTTGGGTAGGTAAATATAATTCACACTAGGCTGCTGGATAATGGATTAAGGCTCAGGAAAATTCTCAATGGTCATTGTTGACTAGGTTCGTTAATGTGCTGTTAAACGAAAGATACACAGGATTTTTTAGGCACATTTCTAATTTGAAGAGTGATAAGAACGGAGTCACTTGTGGCCCTCTGAAATGTGTCTTTTGTGTCAATGAGAGTGGGCTAGCCGACAGTGGTTTAACCCACTTACTCTGCCCATAGGTTCTCATTCTCTGGTTTCTTATTAAATATCAGATGTTCAATATGGGTAATTATGTAGATGTTTCTATATCAATTAAAATTATTTTGCACTTTGACCTATTGTAAACCTACAGAAAAATGTATAGAAAACAATGTAATAAACACTCATGTGCTTACTTTCTAACAAGTCAGGTCTTAATTTTTTCCAAAGTGGCTGCTCTTCCTATCTCACAGAGATATTACGAAGCTACAATTAGGTAATAGAAGAGGAAGAATTTCATAAAATGATAAAAGATAAAGTTCTAAAATACAAGGTGATGATATTTCTAATTACTTTTAAATTAAAAGCACAATACCTTTTTCTTATAAAATTATGTCAATGTGGGAAACTCATAATGATTAATCTTTTTTTGTTATATTAATAATGTTTGTAGGGTAATAACAGTTTTTCCCTACTTCTTTAGAGAAGTAGCTGATTTTCAGCTTTCTGTGGATTCTCTGTTGGGGAACAATGACTATTCAAGACCAGATATTCAAGTTCAAGCCACACAACTGGCAGAGAAGGTACTTTAGCACTATTACCTTTTTTTTACTTTATAATACAGTTATTATTTTAAAGAAAAAAATACTCTGCAGGTTATCTCAGCCATAGTAATGAATTTAATAATGTTTCTTTGTTGAAAGCACCTTGGAAAACGTAATTTAAATTCATTTTAGCCATGTACTGTAAGATTAGTATGATTTTTCACGTTAGTTATAGAGCATTCTTCTTGAGCCGACATTGTTCAGTATTTTTATTAGCTACTTACAGGAGGACTGAAGTATTAATTAAATTTACAGATTGAAGCTGGTTGGACTTCTGAATTTAGGAGAACAAGTTGATAAATTAGAGCAGTGGATTGCACTTCTTAAAATGAGTTTCTGAGAAAATGAACATTAAAATATGAGAAGAAATTATTAGATTGCAATAGAATTATGATTGCAGAGACAAAGTGGTTAGATGATTTAATAAACCTCTTTCATTTCTAATTTCTGTGATGAATTTGGTACCTAAAAGAGAAATTGAAAGGATTGTAGAGAGTGACCAAGTTGTTAGTATAATACCACCAGAAAAGGCAGGTTTTGGACAAGTTTGTTTTTTTTTTTTAATAAGGTCATTACAAAAGAGGTGTGTGGGTACCCTGAAGAATTGGAACAATGGAAGTCATTATCATAGAAAAAGATGCTTAAAGAATGAGTGTGATAAAGGAGCGTTGGTAGCTGAGTATTTGATCAAAAACCACCCCAGATTTTTATCAGGAAGTAAACCAAGAATAGAATCATCCTAATTATAATATTTAGTATCAAAATAAAAACAAGTGATTCTTCAGTGACAAGTGTTTTTTCAAGGTCCATGGGTATATCAGGTGCTTTGAATATCTAGTTGGTTAAAATTTTAAGGCATATTCACTGAAGACAAAGTTATTTACATTTTATGTGTTGACACAAGTGCTTTAGCATAGGCCCTGACATAATGTCTTGTTCTGTGGCTTTTGCAACTGGTGGGTGAGATAAAAAGAGTTTATTGCAAAAAAAAAAAAAAAAAGAGTTCATTGCATGTCAGGGTACGTAGGGTGGGAGTAAAGTGGTGCTCTCTCTCTCCCATGTCAGATGGAGAATTTGAGGCGAGGGAATGAAAAAGAGGAAGTGACTTGGAATACAGAATAGTATTCTAATCAGTAAAGAAGAAAACATGTTTACCCAAATAGAATGATTGATTTGAAGGGACTGGCTAAGGCCCAGGTCCAGATATGAAGACAGAGAGATGATGCACCTTTTGCCTTTAGACAGTTGAAAATCTGATAATTTTAGAACTACAACTTTCATTGGGCTTACTTTATAATATAGCTCTTTTACTTGATCTGTTATCTTTTCAGCTAAAATGTGATACAGTGGTGACTGAAATCAGCACTGGTCAAGGGACTGTAAATTTCAAAATAAACAGAGAACTATTAACAAAGGTAAGAAGGGGTATGTTTTAGCTCTTGCATCTTCACTCACTCTCTCTGTTTTAGCTACAGTGGTTTCCCTCCAGTTCTTAAACTTATTGTGCCTACTCTTGCCTCAGAACTTATGCACATTCTAATGCCTCTGCCTGGAATGCCACCCCATGTTAACTCCTGCTTATCCTTCAGATCTTGATATTTCCTGGGCAGTGGCCTTCTGACACCTTCATTTGTACACTCTCATAGCACTGTACATCTCTCCTTGTAGAATTTACCATAGTTCCTTTCACATTCTTTTTATTTCATTAATGTCTGTTGCCTTTAAACTCTAATTTCCATTAGGGCTTATAGTTTCTGCTTTTCTCACTCACTATTAAATCCCCAGTTCCTAGCACAATGCCGGGCATGTAGTAGATGTGAGATAATTATTATTGAATGAAGTAATGGGCTCTGTATTAAATGTAAGAAAAGTACTACTGGTTTCTGCTCTCTGGTAGCCTGTATTCTGTAGGAAGCATAAGAATTATACAAATGCAACCATAAGACAGCTTTTTTAAAAAAAATAAAACAATAAATAGTCCTGGCCAATGTGGCTCAATTGGTTGGAGTGTTGTCCTGTACACCAAGAGGTGGTGGGTTTAATTCCAGATCAGGGCACATACCCAGGTTGCAGGTTTGATCTCTGGTCAGGGCACATGCTGAGTGCGGGAAGCAATTGATCAATATTTCTCTCTCCCTCCCTCCTTCTCTCTAAGATCAATAAAAAAAGAGATTTTTTTTCAGTTCTTCATTCTTGGATGCAAGTGGACAAAAATCACCAAACATTTGAGGAAAGCCTCAAATGAGAGTAAGACAAATAAAATGACCTCAAAGGAAATGGAAATAATAAATAAATAAATAAAAATAAAAAAACAACAACAACAATTAATAAAGATGATTGGTACAATAAGCATAAGAAAGATCAAAGATGGAAAAATCAGGATGTCCTGGAGGGTGGGGGAAATCACATAGAGGAATTAGGTCTCACATGAGTAAGGCCATGGAGGACATGTAATTCTGGATAGGCAGTGGTATGAGACCTTTTGTTGAGAATCTCATCTCAAACATTAAAACTTATCATAATGCAGGCTTTGGTGTAGTATAGTGGCCAGCAAACTGCGGCTTGCGAGCCACACGCAGCTCTTTGGCCCCTTGAGTGTGGCTCTTCCACAAAATACTGACTTCTGCGCATGGGCCACGAAGTTTCAATTGTACTGTACATTCGCGCCCACACGTGGTATTTTGTGGAAGAGCCACACTCACGGGGCCAAAGAGCTGGGCTCGTGAGCCACAGTTTGCTGGCCATGGTTATAGTATGTAAAAAAAACTCCAAAAAAACAAATCACACCAGTATTGAGTTGGTCAGGCTTAGTAAATGCTGCCTCTTGAATTGAAAATAACTATAAAACCAAAATTTCTAGTAATATATTTTTTCACTGAAAGAGAAATAGTGTTTTATACTTGTCTCTAGATCTTTTAATTTTTTTCTTTTATCTTTTTTCATTCTTACTTCAAGGTAAATTAGTTAACCAAAATCAGTCACAAGGACAAGAAGGAACAATTTTTTTTGAGCTTTTTACAAAGTGTCTACAACATGCTAGGCTCTTGATAACATTTCATGTCAATTAAGCAAACCAGTGAGTCTAATTTACCATTTTTTGAATTAGTGACTTTCCTAATTGTTGACTTAATTTTGTTGAAGTATAAATACAGCTCACCAAAGTGCCTACCAAACTTTAGGCCATTTGGTAGGCAGCAATATTGTACTGTTTTTGTTTTTTCTAAGATGGGAAAATGTACTGTGGTAGATGGAGTTTGCCTTTACACCTGGCTTAGCTGAAAGAGATGTGATTTGTATTTTAAAGCATAGCATATATTAATAATTTAAAATTTTAATGGCCATGGATTTTCATGCTTTATTACAATTAAATAGATTTTCTCTGGTTTAAGGATGCCCATTTGCTTGCTTATTGAAAATATTCCCAAATTCTTCTCAGTTGACAACAGAGGGAATAAGAGTTAGGGCCTTGAGAATCTGGATCTTAGTGTGATTTTTGTTTTAAAGGAACGAGCGGATTGCTCACATAGGCCTTCTCAGTGTCACAATAAAGATACATCCTAGAGCAGTGAACACCCATAGACTAAGGAAAGAAAATTGAATGTACCTGTATTTATAAATTATTTTTTTATTAACAGAACATTATTTTTATTGGCAATACAATCATAATTACAAATGGCTTGTGTGAACGTATTGGGAAATAGTCTCTTTGGGGGCCTCTTCTATATTTTATCAACCAATGGCAGTAGGCTCTAGACTTTTTTTTCTTTTATTTTTTTTAATTTAAATTATAATTTTTAAATGATAATACTTCTTTGCTCAAAGTCTAATTTCAACAGTGATCATTTGCATTTCTAATGAATTTTTCAGATCATGTCAAGAAAAAAATTCAACCATTTTAGGACCATTGTAATTCTTTTTTCCTTTTTTTTGTTTTTTTTACGTTTTAGAGTTGGCAAGATTGACATGTAGCCAATGATCTATGTCCAGAATTTACTCCTCAAGCAGAGAATTGTGAATTTGTCATTGCTTACACGTGTATAAACTTAGACGGAATGAAACATTACCTGTCCATGAATTGCAATTGAATTATTAGCACTGGCAGCACCAGGGATGATTAAATGTTAGCTTAAGTTTGGATCACACATAGTGGCTTAAAATCTCTTCATATAAATCATTCTCAAGGGTAGGAGGCTAAAATATGAAATTAAAGGCAATAGAAACTGCCAGATATGTGGGACTAGACCATAAATTTTCAAAGCTAGAAGATTATGTGAGCAGTTGAAGAACTATCACTTTTACCAAACTTCCACCTGTTAGTAGCTAAAGGATGACTTTCAAGAGAAACTATAACTTTGAGTAATAATTAATTCAGTCTAGGGAGAGAAAAAAGAAAATAAGAGTTTAACTAGGAAAAGGGCAAACAAAATCCTGTTTTTTAGGTGTGCCCTAGAAATACAGTGGATGACATTTTATTTTACATGTTCAAATGCATTTTTTATTTGCCAAATTCAACTTTGTATACTTTATCAAGACTTGAGAAGAAGAAAAAATGATACTAATTTAAGTGGTTCTAATTCTGCTCATTATTTGACTAATTAAGTTTGTCAGTAGGCAGTCAGGATGCATTTAAGTCATGTGTAGTGCCAATTGGCTGAACACACTAAAAGAATGAATAATTAAACACTTCTCTACTATTGACCAAAGAATTGACTAGACAAATAGTTAGTGGTAGCTTGTTTACAAATCCTGTTGAGAGCTGTACAGAAATAGCAACCAGCAGCGTTAGATAAAATGACAAAAGTCATCCACAGGAAAAGTGATGGTGATCGACAAACAAAAAATGTCAGCCAATTAAAGTATTAATTTTCTAAAGCATTCCAAAAAGTAAAACCTTTGAAAGATTTAATTTTTTATTATAAACTCATTATGCACCTAAGTTTACTGAGTACATTTTACATTTAGACATTCTTATTGATGAATGAATTGGCCTCTAGCTTGTTCATCTATTGGAATATAAGGAAACTTTACTAGCTCACTGACATTCTAGTTAATAGTTTTCTTCTGTGTGGCCACTAATTTAATAAGCCTCCTGCTTATTATTTATCAGGGACTGTATTATAGAAATCTACATAGATCCTACCTTTTAGGAACTTACAATAAAAAAAGAAAAGCATAGGCCTAGCCATTTTGGCTCAGTGGATAGAGCGTCAGCCTGCGGACTGAAGGATCCCAGGTTTGATTCTGGTCAAAGGCACATGCCCAGGTTGAGGGCTCAGTCCCCAGTGAGGAGTGTGCAGGAGTCAGCCTAACAATGATTCTCTCTCATCATTGATGTTTCTATCTCTCTTTTCCTCTCCCTTCCTCTCTGAAATCAATTAAAAAAATATTAAGAGAGAAAGAAAAGCATAAAAATGGTGTAATGTGTGATGGGTATGATAATATGATGGCTAATATCATGGAGGCGTTTAAAGTTGCAATCCAGGGGAAGAACCAAGATGGCGGCGTAAGGTACAGACCTGTGCGTGCTGCCTCCCACAACATCGAGACTACCAACTATAAGACAAACAGCTATCATTCAGAACCATGGGAAAGCTGGCCCAGTGGAAGCTCTAGAAGGAAAGGAAGAGCATTGAGACTGAGTAGGTTGTGGAGAGGCTCCAAGAACAGAGGTACGGAGTCGCTTGCCAGGAGGGCTGCAACTAGATGCATGGTTTTTTTCAATCGGAAGGGCTTGCAGGCTTTCAAATCCACTGAGCTTGTTTGGGGTGGGATTCTGAGGTCCCAGACCCCTACAGGGAGAGGCGGAGGGCCTTGCAACGGGTCGGAGAGTGAGGGTGGTTTTCTCGCGGAGCTGCTCGCGGGCACTTGGGGACGCCATTGCCTTTTGCTCCGCCCTGGTGATTTGCCAAGAACAGAGGTGCGGAGTCACGTGCCAGGCAGGCTGCAACTGGATGCGCAGTTATTTTCAATCGGAAGGGGTTGCAGACTCTTGAATCCACTGAGCTTGTTTGGGGCGGGATTCTGAGGTCCCAGACCTCTACAGGGAGAGGCGGACGGCCTTGCAAAGGGTCGGAGAGCAAGGGTGGCTTTCTTGCGGAGGTGCTCGCCGGCACTTGGGACGCGGAGCTGTGGAGAGGCGAGGAGTCGCAGAGACGCCATTGCCCCTTGCTCCGCCCTGGTGATTCCCAGAGACCCCGACCTACTCAATTTACATCCCCACCCAAGCTGTGCCAGTGGCACAAAAGGAACCACCTGCACTTTTGCAGCCCAACCCAGCAGACTGCAGATTTCAACTCCTCACATACATTGCTGAGACGGCCCCCGTGAGTCTGGGACGGCCCCTGTGAGACTGACAAGGTCCCTGGGAAGCCGAGAAAAATACCACATGATCTCACTCATTTATGGATAATAAGGA